TGTGAGGGGCACACGAGTAAAGGGGGGACATCCAGCTGACCTATGTGAGGGGCACACGAGTAAGGGGGGGACATCCAGCTGACCTGTGTGAGGGGCACACGAGTAAGGGGGGGACATCCAGCTGACCTGTGTGAGGCGCACGCACCCGTTTCAGACACACCCTCTCACGAAAACAAAGGCGCGGGGCTCGGCCGGTTCTCCTTCCCCCAACTCACAAAGATCGTTTCGACGCGTGAACCGAGGTCCCGGAGCTCGGCTCCGAGCCCACCTCCGAGGCGCGGGCCGGGGCCCCCGTTCTGCGGCACGTGCGTGGTCCCCCGAAGGGTCCGGGGCAGGCTGTGTCCGGAGCCTCCGCGCCCGGCGCGCCCCGGGCCCGCAGACGTTTCCCACTTAGGAACTCAAGGACAAGCGGCAGGTCTGCACGGAGCGCGCCCGGGACTGACCCACCGGCGCCGCGCGGGACCGCGGGGAGACAGAGACGCGGGGCGCCCGGGGTCCGCTGGGGGGTCCCGAGGGGGGGAGGAGCGCGGCCCCAGGGGACCGCTCCGCGGACGGGTCCGCCGGGTGTCGGGGAGGGAAGGGGACACACCGCCCGCTCGCCGCAGGCCGGGCCGAGGGGCGGCGGCGGCGGCTCTACCTCCAGGCTCGGCGGGTCGGCGCGTTCGGACCGCCCGGGCTGCGACCTGCGGCTCCTCGGGGGCGTCCTGCTGCGTCCGCGCCCCGGGTGCGCCGCTCCGCCCTCGGCCGCCGTAAACATCCGCCGCCGCCTCTGCGCCTGCGCACGACGGCCGGCCTGACTGCGCGTGCGCCGCGGGCCTGCCGCTTAAAGGGGCGATGGCTGCGCAGGCGGGGCCCGCCCCCTGGGTCCCGCGTCCGCCCTTCCCGGGCGTTCGCGGGGTCCGCGGCCGCGTCCGGGTCTCGGGGCGCGCGGTGCTCGGCCGGGAGGACGGACCCGCATCCCGAGGGCCCCGCGGCTGCTGACGGGGGCCCGGACCCCTCCGCCCCGCGGACGCCGCCGGCCCCCGAGATCGCGAGGACCGTGCGGCCGGAGACCGCGCGGGGAAACCTGCCTTCCGCCGGGGCCGCGCCCGGTTCGCCGCCTTCGGAAACGCTGCGCGGAAGAGCGCGGCCGCCCGGGTGCCGCCCTCGCCCCTTCCCGCCCTGACCCCGACCCCGGCCGCCGGCGCCGTGTCGTGGCGCGGCCTCATCGCGGCAAAAGAGACTTTGTAAAGCAGCCGAGGCCTGCCTCCGATTTTCGGGGTTCACGCAACCACGGCCCAGACCTCGCCTGGGGCTTTAGCTGCAGAACCCCTTCTTCAAGCACAGCCGAGCAAACCGCGCTACCGCCGCGGAGGAGGGGGCCTGGGTCTCTCTCGGGTCCGGGCCTCCCTCCCTCCTGCCCCGGCCTCCCTCCTGCCCCGGCCTCCCT